GCCGAACAACGTTTTACCTGCGAGGGCCCGGCCCCGGCCCTGACCTCAGCTCCCAGTCCCCGCTCCGGCTTCGGTCTCGGTTCCAGCCCCGGCCCCGGCCCGCGGCCCCGACCCCGCCCAAACTCCCGCCTTGGCCCCGCTCCCATTCCCGGCCCTCGCCCGTCTCCGATCCAGCTGGCGCCCCTGGTCCCGGCTCCCAATCCCGGTCCCGGCCGCGAATGGCGGCTGCTCCCAGTGGATAGGGTCACGGGCATGTCGGGGATCAGATTAAGAATGATGAAAATGGTTTTCTCATGGTTCTAGGCCGCTTGCGGGCCGCGCGGTGCTGAAGTTGAAAATGCTCCATGGTGGTTTTGAAAATGGCCGCGCGCGCGTTTCAAATAGTTTCGGTGTCAAACTAGCAGCTTGGCGCGCCCGCCATTGGAAGGTATGATTACGCGCAACGCGGCCTTCGCTCAGGGGTGCCAGGGCAAGTGGCGCTTGATCCTCCTTCCCACTCTGCCCTGCAGTAGGCGGTGCGAGCCAAGGGCGTTTGAGCCTTCTCCGTGCCTCTTCACATGCAGCCCGAGCTCGGCCTTTAGCGCGCGGGTGTCTTTTGTTGGGCTAGTTGGAACTAGAGGTTGCGTCTCGAACCGAAAGAGCCAACATGTTTTGCCCCACCAATTACCGTTGCTACTGCACGCTGCTGGGGCCGCCGCCCACGAAGGCATCCCCAGGTTCGCGCCGAGTCCGTCACATGTGAAACGTGCTGCGTTTGCAGGCTGGCCCGCGCCGAGTCCGCGGCATGTGAAGGGTTTGACAACTCGGCGCCGCGCCGAGCAAGCTATCGCGCCCCCCCTTACCCTCCTTATCGGCAGAAGCAGGGGCGCGTGCAACAGGGCACTTGTTTTAAGTTGTTGTTGTTTTTTCAAGTTTGTGCCTAGCAGCTCCGCGAAACTACTGCAGCGCGCGCCTGTGCAGTCCATCGTTGTGTGTGTTGGGTAATTCGTTATTTTCCCTCCCCGCTCTGAGGTCGCCGCCCTGGGCGGCCGAATGACGAGAAACTTTGCTCAAACTTGCGCCGCGGGATGTGGAGTGAGAAGATATGGTACGATGCGGGATCGATTACACATGTCTGCGGTAACTGCATATGCAACAAGGGGACGATTTGGGGAGACTCGTGGCCCGTCAAAGGAGGAGGACCATGAGCAGGAGCAACTGCAACAGGCGTGCGTCTAGGCGCGCGTGGCCCTGGCACTGCGTCAAAGAAAAACCGTGGTGACTATAATGATTATGGACGACCGGGGGGGGCAGCTGCTTTGGCATTGGCGGTGCGCGCCGCAGGCATCTGGATATCTGGACAAACCGCGGGTGCAGCTGCAGGAAGTTCTTCCTGCCCTCGCACTTCCGCTCGTTCGCCAGCGAGACCTCCGTGCTTGTTTTGCGTGCTCGGTCGCGCCCGTGTTTCATGTTGCCCACAGCCACCTGGCACTCCATCTGAGAAATGGCCCCGGCCATGTGTCTCTGGAAAACTGTGCATGGGTCCTTGTTGGTGAACAGCCCCGGGATCGAGGCGTGCACCAACTCCAAACCTCGCTTTTCGCACTCCGCGATCGCCTCTTCCTGCACCATCAAACGGCGGGTCAACCGCTTCTCGTCGGGCACCACGATCCGCTTGATGCCGCGCTTCTCGCGCCTGTCCAGGAAGGCGGCCACGCCCGGCCTGGACAGGAACGGCGTTGAACCTGGGGAAGCAAAAAAAAAACTCCACGACAAATTCGGCGTGCGATTTTGCAGTTATTCGCCGCGGGGGCGGTGGAAACATGAAGGCGGGGGGGGGGCGCTTGCTGTAGCAATTGCGTAGTGTAGCGTCTGGCACGCTAACAAATCCAGGGTTTCGTGCCGATGGGCGATGTTACCTTCGGAAGAGGACGCGACGCGCCACATTCCTCATCCAATGCCCCTGCGGTGTGCGGGGGCGTTGTGGCCCCGCCGTCCTGGGACGTTCTTCAAGACGAGCGTTTCCTGGACGGTGGGGGGGTGCCGCGTCCATGATAGCATGTCCAGAAAAAGCTGCCCCCGCGCTGCTTGAGCCCCGAAAAAGCAACGAATGGCTACAGTTGGGTGGTCCACGCTTACTTCCTCCGGTTGCCACGGGCCTCCCAGGGATCCCCGCCGGCCCCCGCTGTCAGTCCGCCGCAGTCTATTTGTGACTTCTGTCGGGCGACACGAACCTCCCCTGGGCCGTCGCCCGTAGGCTGCACGTACTTCCGCGGCCTCCTGCGGGCCGTCGGCCGCAGGCTGCACGTACTTCCGCCGGCTGCCGCCGACCTCCCGCCAACGTCTGTTGGCAAGAGCGTCCGCCTCTCCGCCAGCTCTGGCGGGCCCTCAGCCGGTGGGCCCCGCCTACTCCCGCCGACTGCCGCCGACCTGCCGCTTGCTCCTGCCAGCGCAAGAGCCCCCCCTTCGAACGGCCCCCACGGACCGTCGGCCAACTTCTGGCGCCGGCCGCCGGGCTGTG